TACAGAGTGGATGATGATGGGGGACAAGGGAAGGGGTACAGAGTAGATGATGGAGGACAGGGAAGGGTACAGAGTGGATGATGATGGGGGACAGGGAAGGGTACAGAGTGGATGATGGAGGACAGGGAAGGGTACAGAGTGGATGATGGAGGACAGGGAAGGATACAGAGTGGATGATGGAGGACAGGGAAGGGGTACAGAGTGGATGATGATGGGGGACAAGGGAAGGGGTACAGAGTGGATGATGGAGGACAGGGAAGGGTACAGAGTAGATGATGATGTCCCTTGTCCCCCATCATCATCCACTCTGTACCCCTTCCCTTGCCCCCCCCCATCATCATTTCATACTACTAATAAAACAAAGAATTATGGGGCATGGTGGCATGCACCTCTAATTCCAGGACTCAAAAGGTAGTCAGCATGATCAGGAGTTCAAGGTCATTCTAAGCTATATAGTAAATTCAAGGCTATCTATCCTTCAATTGATGAGACTATGTCTCAAAAAACATTAAACACATACGTACATAAATAAAACAACTTTATAACACTTTTAGACATATAAACCCAATAGTAATATTGAGGCAGAATCCTAAACCTAGGAAACGATTTTAAAATTCTTAATCAACATTAATTAACCTATCAAGAAAAAAGACACATTTGCTATAAATGGGGACTATTTTGCTTCTTATGAACAACACATTCTGGACTAGACCAAAACTCATGTATCAGCATGAATTAATAAAGTTGCATGCTATGTGTTTCAAAGCCAACTGCTCCTACTGCCAAGACAAGAAAATTTCCCTCCAAAGGCCCCCTCCTCTTCCCTGCTTACCTGGTGGGTGCCACAGCCTTGACAGAGTCCCGTGAGCATGGCTGGCATGCGCTTGATCGCAGAGGGCTTTTTGTAATACTGCGGGTACGCTTTGGCCATGCAGTTACTGATGTCTTTGGAGTCTGTTGCTGCCTGAATTTTGACTCTTTCGCATCCCTGAGATGAACAGTAACTGTGACCATCTCTGTGGCTATGGGCTCTGAGATACAGAAACAATAACCTGTAAAATAAAAACCGAGCCAACTGATGTTAGTTCCTCTCAGAAGCACAAAATCTCTCAACTTCATTCATGGCCAAGGGGATATTTCTCCAATAAAGAAACTTTTCCTTAAAAGAGAAATAAATTGCAAAGCTAATAAAATGTTTCACTTCCTTTCTTATCCCCTAGTGTTGCAGGTCACTGCCTTAGGGAGCATTGTGATATTTTGATTCAGTTGTCCTGAAAGACATCAAAGGTGATCACTGGTTTAAATTAGTTCAAGGGGTCATCCGAGAGGAAGGAATTTAGCTTGCTTCAAAAACTCCTTGAAAACTCTATTTATGTTGAGTTTAGGAATGGAACATTAACATCAACGATTCCTTGTTGATGCTGCTCATAGACTGTTGTGAAAACAGGGATAATAACGGAGTGACGGTGGCTTGTATAACTAAGGTCAAGATAATCAAAGCCTTGTGACGCCTTCCAAGAGCACATGGGCCTGGGGCCCATCCTTCTCAACTGGGCCAACACCAGGCTGGAGGACAGTTTCACCAGTTCCGAATTATAGTCTCCCTACCAAGAATGGGAAATCTGACGTCTAAGAAATGCTGCATCATTATCTAAAAACCTAGCGTTTCCAAAACAATTGAAAGGTAAGCATACAATCAAAATAGATTGTACAAGATTCTCAAAGAATAAATAAAAACATTATAATAATGTTTTTAAAAGGTAAGAGTCAAACATGGTGGTATATGCCTTTAACTCTAGCACTCGGGGGGGGGGGGGGAAGAACAGGTAGATGGATCTCTGTGAGTTCAAAGCCAGCCAGGTCTATAAGGAGAGTTCCAGGCCAGCCAGAGTTTATAATGAGACTCTCTTACCCTCCAAAAAAGGTAAGAAAATTGGTGACTGTCCCAACATCTAATAATTTTAGCACAAATACTTAAGAAATAACAGGGGCCTAAATGGGCAAGAGCCTTTTAGTATATACTGTAAATTGTCAAAATGAATAAAATTAAAAAGAAATAAATCTTCAAAAGCTGGATTTTTTTTTTAAATAACCAAACCAGAAAATAATGGCCCATCTTTGACATGCATAATCACTAATCTGTGGCTACTGGAATGTCCTTACAAATTTGGTCATTCCTCTTATTTTTGTAAATTTTCTACTTAGTTGAATTTTCAACTAAGAATGTGGAAATTCTGTTGTCAATAAAATCCAGTTGGACTATTTGTATTTAATTAGAGATTGAAATTTGGAGACTCTCAAGCTTACCACACTGGCTGCTGGGAGTACTAGAGGGCAAACGAGTTGCTTCGTAAACAGAGGTTAACCAGATAATTAACAAATGAGCCCCAACTTCCTTCCCCCGAGCACCTCCGCTCCCACTTCTTCCCACTGAACTGTTTGTGTTTCCCAAACATGCCATGCCAATGTTAGCCCATGCCGGCATGCATCTGTGTGCTGTTTCCTCTATCGGAGACTCCTCACCCAGCTCTTTGTACCTCCCCCTAATTGCTCAAGAACTACCCAGCATGGAACCCTTGCAGGATGTCACTGTGCTCTCAGCTAACCTGTTAGTTACCCCCTAAGGCACATTAACTACACTGCTGTCGGACTTACAGCATTTAAGCTTTTCACTCTCTAATAACTTGCTTCAGTGACTGAATTTCCTGCAGAGATGAAGCCTATCTCCACGGGTATCTTTATACCTAGCCAGTAGACGGTCAGCTTAAGGATAGAGTTGGAAGGAGCATGCTACTTGCTGGAGAGAAGAGGAGATCAAGCCTACCATAACCCACAGGCTGAGAGACTGTAACAGGACAAAAGCAGACAAAGCCACCAGGACCCCAGGAGAGCAGGATAAGAATTAAAAAGTGGAAAGACGCAGCCTAGAGAAAGTCGGAAGCAAATATGCCATGGTTACACAGTGATGTTTAAAAACTCATGGTCAGCTTGAGAAATAACCTTAAGTTAGAAGGGGAAAATGGGTTTTCAGTGAAATATAAACAGTATCTTATACAAATAACTATTACAGAGTTGTTGCGGAAGAACAAATTACTTTTATTTTCAATTGGGCCTACTGATGGCTCTTGACAATGATAATCTCTTCCCCTAAATTGCCTTAATAAATAAACAGCAAATATCTTGAGTCCTACTGCCAACTATACTTATGAGTCATCTGAGCTGTGCTCCTAACCCCTAATAGTGACGTGCACAAGTGCCCACGCCAGCTGCTCTGCTAAAGACCCTTACATCCCGTCCCTTCTTAGTTATGCTAAGAGAAGCAGCAATTTCATCCTTGAAGAAAAAAAGCATTAGTTCTCAGTCACTGCTTCATGAATTACCCTGTGCCAGAGTCGAAATAGAATTTCCTCTCCGATGGCTTCCTCTGTAGCTCTTCCATCGACTGCGCAGGCTCATAGTCTTCAATTCTGGATAAAGAGCCATTCTGCCGCTGCAGAAAGCCGAAGGTAACCTGAAAGCTTGTGTTGGATGGGTAACAGAGGCCAACTCGGATCCAGTCATCCCTTAAAGGCAAGGCAGAAAAACAAAAAATTCACACGTAAGCGAATATCTTTCTGAATGCTGCAGCATATGGAACTTTTAAGCATGATTTCTCTCTGCCTTTTGAGTCCTGAGCCTGATACACTCATTTAGTTCCCAAATATCTTGGATCAATACATATACAACAGAAATAAGATCTACCAAAAAAATATAAAAAACCAAAACTTGGTTTCAAGAGAAGTTGGAATTTTTTCGTGAATTAAAGTTAGATAACATATTCTTCAAACAGATGTTCAAGTTGGGTATGGACACACAACATGAAACCACCAATCTCCTGACAATGGATTTGTCAGCTAATAAAATCATTTGAGAGAGTGTCTGGCCACAAATATATCTTTTTTTTTTTTTTTTTGTATTTTGAGACAGGATTTCTCTGTGTAGCTTTGCGCCTTTCCTGGAACTCACTCTGTAGCCCAGGCTGGTCTCGAACTCACAGAGATCCATCTGACTCTGCCTCCCGAGTGCTGGGATTAAAGGCATACGCCACTACAGCCCAGCTCTATCTTTTAAAACAGTAGTTAAGTGATTTTTCTAGTGGAAAATGTTGAGAGAAATGAAGGTACACGTCATTTATCCATACCACCAAATTACTATAATGGTCTTCCTGAACATTCTTAGATATAAAATTATTTCTTTAAAAAAATTAAAATATTTTCTTTTGTGACATTTTTATTGTGACGAGATAAATGCGCCCTACAATTTACCATTTTAAACATTTTCAACTGTACAGTTCAATTCATTAATTACATTCACAAGGCTCCACTGCCACTGTCCTTGCTTATAACCCTTCTATATCATTCTAAAGACCCTTATTAGATAGGGAGAATTTAACACTGTTCCAATGAGGTATAGTTAATAACAGCAGAGGGGGTAGAAATCCTCAATGTTCATAATTATTTAAAGAGCTACAGTCCAGCCATAGTTCAGAAAAACCTGAGGGTAAAGGGCAAGGGGACCATGTTGATCTGCCTTGCTTTAGTTAGGATTAAGGATTACATCAATTTTTTGGTTTGTCTGTATTTTCCTTATTATGTTTAATAAGTGTAGTATTTAAAGTTTTAAAGCGTTTTTTTCAGAAATAGTGCTATGACCTCTCTGTAATTACACTAAATTCAGAAAAATTATTCACCTCTTCCTCTTGCCTCTGCCCATCATGTAATTTTTATGAACTTCAAGCTAATTAGGCAAGGAAAAAATGACTTTATTTCAAGCTCATGTTGATTTTTGAAACTTCTAGGCTCACTCTTTTTTCCCTCTAAGAGCCGAATGAAAAGTTTGCTTTGTACTTTACAGAACCTGTCCATCATTTCACTGGAATATCTCACCTTGAACCCATGATCCAACTCCGTATAACTTTCCAGAACACTGATTCTCTTTAGCATCCCTCCCCATCCTCCCTGCTGCTCTTTTTTCATGGGCTTCTTTGCAACTCACTGGCAATCGGAGGCTGGGCCTGAAGAACTCTTACCAGGAACACGATGTGAACTCAGGACTGAAGGTGAGACTGGGCAGGGGGCTGCTGCAAGGATCTGGGCAAAGATGTTGGGGGCCTAAATTCAACCATAAACTATGGAGGCTGGACTGGAAATATGTGAATGACATTAAGGAGCCAGAAATGAGAGTTTTCTGGCCATGGGATGGAAAGGGAAGAAGGATCAGCGTAGGGAATGAATTGGGCGCTGGGGCTTGGCGGTATCAGAAGGACACAGGTAAAGAGCAATGTTAGAGAAGAAAATGATGGTTCATTTGTAGCACCCACCAATCTCACACCAAGGGCATCCATCATCATGACCACTCAGCCTTGGAAGTGAGCTACTTATACCCAAACTCCCCATCCTGTTTATCTCAACTGCTGATTAAGCAAAGCCAACAATTCAAGGCTTCATGACTAATAGGATAAACAAGCTAATCAATTTTCAGGTACAGGTTTGAGCAACTGCATGGAATCCCAAGAGGTTGGCCACAACACAATGTGGCTTCCACATAATGAGATTCAACTAACCAACTGCAAATTGAAAATACGTAGAAAAACAAACCAAACCAAACCACTATAATTGTTCCGAAAATATAAACTTTTCCCTTGCCATTGTTCCTTAAATAATATAGTGCAACAACTTCTTACAATGCTTTAACATTGAAAGCAGTCTACAGATGATCAAAAAATACAGGAGATGTGTATGTGTGGATTATGTGCAAATATCATGTCATTTTATACAAGATTGTGAACATCTATGGAGTTTAATATTTGCAAGGTTTCCTTAAAAAACAGCTCCCCAAAGACTACTGCTCGCCCTCCTTTCTAGTTTAAACTTCTATCCTTTCTCTGACATGCCCTATATTCCTATTCACCAAATCTACCATTCTGAGCAGAGCAGGCCCTTTCTCAACTCTGGGCTTCCGAACAAGACTGACAAGTTATAGAATCTCACTACTTCTCCTTGTCCTGGCTCTGATCCCCTAGGCAGAGTGCAGAATTAGTATCCCCATCCTGCTTCCACTAAAGAAGACGTGGAAGATGCTGAGGAAGAAGAGGAAACAGACATCTATTTACTTGATATTTTTCCCACCTCTCTAATGTGAACTCATTCATCTTTATACCAAGTGACATACATAATGAATAAATTAGTGAGAAATTGCGGCCTTAGATTAAATGTGACACTGTGAGGACAGACAACTGGTTAGTTGAGACACTGTGGTGAGAGACATTGTTAGGAAAATTTCTCTTACATTCTAAGAGTCTAAGAGATTGGATATTTTTTTTCCTCTAAAAGTAGTATTTATTTAAAGAGAGAATAACAAAATAGGATGTTCATCCCTTGGCTCCCTTCCTTCCCCATTCCAGCTGTTATTCACTCCTCCAGGATTGAACCCTGGTTAGGGCTAGGTAGCAGGACAGTCCCTCAAATGAAGTCCACAACACTGGTGGCGGGGGGGGGGGGGGCATCTTTTCAATGGAAGTATTGTAGAAAGTCTCAATGTCTTAGAGTCTTCTGTTGTTACCATGTTAAAAGCCACACCCTTATGGTCAAACTGACCACCACCACCACCAATTCTGTGGATATAGCTTGCCCTATTGGTGGAACAGTCATAATTGATAGCTTCTGGCAAGCAGATCAGTGGTAATTAATACTCTTCTAGAACCAGACCGGAACTCCCTCATGGTCATATCTCATATCTCTATACATGGCAGAAAGAGCGAAATCATGGGCATGCATCTTCTCAGTGAGCCAATCCACACCTTCCTTCTGGTATTGGTAAAGATTACTGCTTGGGTGACAGTCAGTGTATCGTACAAGTCAGTGTGTCAACCCTCCACTCCTCTCCTTCCGCACTGAGGTATATTGGCGGATACCCTCCAGGGTCAATTCTTGCTTCTTGACAAGAATCTGAATGTGAACTTCTTGGTTACCTCAAGGACATCAGAAGGCATTGCAGCTGACAACAAAACTACCTGGTACTGTTGAACTTTTGGAATATATCATAGATACGGTCCTTGAACCCATGGCTTAACATTTCATCTGCCTTATACAGTGCACACATCTTGATGTATTTGGGGGACAGGAATCTCTGGTTAAGCATATCAAACACCTGGACAGGAGCACTCACAATGATATTAGGAAGCTTGCATCTACAGCTTCTGCACCTAAGCATATACATTGGTGCTTCCCAAACAGGCAAGACAAGAGGCACCCGTGCAGTCTCCTAGTGCCATAACTATGCTTTGTAGCTGCTGAGCCAATTCATGAGTGGCCTTTAGATGTAATTCAATGTGCCGAAGAATTGATATGGCGAACATAGCTGTTTTCCCAGTCGCAGAGTGGGACTGAGCAATCACATCATAACCCCCTTGACACAAGGAGAATGGTTCCCTGCTGACAAGCAGAGGCCTTCTCAAAACCAGAGGCATAAATACTGCAGAGGAGGTACTGTGACAGATTCATGTCATCAAACCTCATTCCAGTTACTATTGACGATGCCTGCGGACTCCATCTTACCAGAGCCATTATCTCTGGATGAAGAATCCTGACTCACAGACAGGATCTTTAGTGTGACTGGAACTTTTGCTGGACCTCACAGCCAAGTTAAGAATACTCCTTGAGGCCACTTATAACTTAAGACTCAGCCTGTCTGGTTAGCCTGCCTTTAAGAGAACAATGTACCAATCAACCTTACTGGCCTTGATTTCCTAGGTAATTAACTTTTTACAAACTAAGTTGTAATTTTAAGTTAAGTACTCTGCCATGTTCCTGACCCAGGGTATGTTATGGTAATAAATGCTGAAAATAGTAAATAGGTTGAAAGCAACCTTAGAAAACAAATATCCACCTTAGACGCTGGAAGCCACATGGATACAGGCTGGTAAGACTGTCTACACTGATGCTTACAGTACTATTTGTTATCTGGGACAGTGGGGCTCAGGGAGTCATTAAAGCCTCAGTCCTTGTGAAACTCTGTCTAAGATTTCTCTAAAGTGCCCCCCATTCCTTCCCCGTGTGAGGCTTTCTGTACTGTTCAATAAATAGAGTGAAGCCCTTTGTTAAGGACAGAGATGAACACTCAGGGACAGGGACAGACAAAGGGCATTCAGGCAGGCAGATTCAGACCCATACCATGGGCAGATTACCGAGAAGCAGGCATGAAGAAAGAGAAGCGGAGTATCCCGATCTGGGCTTGGTAAACCTCCTGGGAGGAAAAGTGCTTTGATTTCTTTTCTTACTGCACCATCAGTGCATTGCAGGGACTCAGAGGTTATTATCATTGTACTTAAAGTGACTGAGACAGGACAGAGTGACGCGTCAAGGCAGGAGTGGGAAATGCCTGTTACTCATTCCTTCCTCTCGTCCTGGAAGCCATTACCAACTAATCATGTCACTTTCTTTTGTCCAGTCTACGCTCGGGCTCAAAATTCTTTCCATTTTGTCAGCTACTGTGATTCATCCCATAATCCTAGCACTTAGAAAGCTGAGGCAGGAGGATTGTCACAATTTCAATGTGCCAGTGTGGACACAGCAAGGTTGTGTCATTCCTCTTCCCCACTGGGGTGGGGGAGGGGCGGGGGCGGGGGCGCGGGCAGGAGAGTGAAAGAAAGAAGAAAGAAAGCCAGACTCTTAATTTAATTTTCCACATGCTTACTCATAAAACCACATAAAACTGGGGCCAGCTTTAGGAAACTGCAATACTCAGCAGATGGTATTAAAACCAATCCTTTGAGTAGATGATACGGCTTTGAGTAGAGCTCTTGCTAGTGTACTTGAGGTCCTGGATTTAATCCCAACTACCTCAGATAACAAAAACAAAGCAAAACAGTTCCCACTGTAGGGTAGCTTTTCTGTACACAACACCTGATAACAGAGGAAAAGAAATGATTAAAAAAACCAAACCGATCTGTATAATCAGTTTACACAATCACACTTCAGCCACACAGCCTAGACTCTTCTCCACAAGAGTAAAGTGCATGCGACGCCTTCATGTTATATCATTCTTTTCTCTGCTATGACTGCCTGCTCAACTGTGTGCAAAGACAGAAATAGAAACATTACTTGTTGAAGTTCACAAGGTACAAGAAAGTGGTACGTGGCGCCGGACCGTTCCAGTGGATGGTGTAGCCCTTCTCCAGCATGACGACAGGCTGGTACTGTGGGGAAATGGCCCTCTGGTTGATACCCCGAAGCACCATTGGGTGGGATGGGTATTCATCTCGTGTGATGATCATGCTAAGATTCGGAGTGTTCCATGTCTGAACATACACCTTTAAGAAAAAGTTAAGAATTGAGGGGAAGTGAATAAGAGATGAAACAGCTCCAAGAACTTACCCAGTCCACGTCAAGGGTCTGTACTTTGAAAAGAGATTCTGTGGTAAGTGCCAGACCAAATAAGCAGTGGCCAAGTGGCCTAAACCCTGCTTACGATGCAGCCTGCTTAAGGTAGACATGGTTAAAACAAGACCCCTGTGCTGCCAGCCAAGACCATCATCAATTCCACCACCACAGGCCAGCTGATTCATCAGAATGGAGAACGTCTGTGGCTTACACAGCTTGCCACAGAAACCACTCCATCTGAAGAACACCAATCCAAAACAAATCAGCAAACACGGGAAAACTGATATGCCTCCAGGCAAATCCAAGACTCCCCTCTGATCCATGGGGTGGAAAATTCATATCGGAGAGCTCTGGCTAAAGACCTCCACTTGCCCAAGAAGTCATTTTTCACCCATTCAAAAATAAAAGCTAAAAAGCTCTCTACAGCATCTGGAAAAACATGTTAAGCTTAGATAAACTGGAAGGTCCTGAATTTTTTCCAGTAGCATTTGAGCCGCGTTCCAGGCCACACTGAAGCCTTCTGCCAAGGCATCTTCCGAAGGACACACCTCAGAGCAATTTCCTAAAATAAATCAATATCCAGCAACACATTCTCCAGGAGAACAAAATCATACACAGACTCCTGACATTTTACCCACAAGCACTAGACTTCTATGCCTTTGTTCATATCGGCTCCTCCACTTTATGAGCTTGGAGTATCTTCTCAACACTCATTCCTGCTGAGAACCTTAACCCTGTGCTGATACCACTCACAGATTCAAAATAGAAGCAGGAAACATACGACTAGTGATTATCTTCCTTTAAACACATTTTTGGGGTGTGGGTGTGTGTGTGTTCATGTATACACAGTTGTGTACTCTTGCATGTGTGCATCAGATTGTGAAGGCCAAAGGATGCCCTCAGGGGTCATTCCCGCTCAGACACTGTCCACCTTGTTCTCTAGGACAGGACCTCTTACTGGCATGGGCCTCATCAGTTAGGGTTAGGTTGCTGGTCAGCAAGTACCTGGGATCCACCTGCTTCTGTCTTCACAGCATTGGGATCACAATCATGTACTACTTGACTGTGTTATTCCCCAGCCTTTAAATATATATTTAGTACAGACATGGCATACATGATTTATTAGCATAAGTGTATTCATATTTAGCATATACTTGAGAGAGAAATAGACGGACAGATACACCTTCTGCCTTCTGCCAAAGGACAGTCTGAGGTAGTGTGCATAACTGTGGGCTCCCAACATTAGTACTGTTCTTCCTGAGTGCTTCATCCTTCAGGCCAATTAGGAGCAGATGGAAATTCCACCTCAAAATATTTACAAGCAACTAAAGAATAGCAATTCTGAAAAGCCAGGTGTGGGGGCACATGTCCTTAATCCTGGCACTCAGGAGGCAGAGGCAGGAGGATCTCTGAGTTTGAGGCCAGCCTGGTCTACAGAACGAGTTTCAGGATAACCAGGACTACACAGAGAAACCCTGTCTCTAAAGAACAAAAAGAAAAACAATCAAACAAACAAAAACAAGCAACAATTCTGTCTTGACATCCCACTATATTACTTCTAAGTGAAAGCAAACAGCCACAGATTTGGGCTTCTGCCCAAATTTCAAATCTTCGGGAAAGAATTTCTGACCTGTGGTTCTCCCATTATGACTCAAGCCTTCCTTCAGCTACATATAGAAATAAAATGACTACCCTGCTTCCTAAGGTGGAATGATTAGGTTCGTATCTAAAATAGTAATACAAATCCAAAGGGCCAAATGGTTGATGAATAAGAATATA